TCAAGCACTGAAGGCATACATTATAGTTAACATGTTGGTTTCAATACATTTATATCTACTGCCTATCTGCAACAAGAAAAAGTGACAACTGGAAATCTGCAGCAAGAACAAACCTTACAGTAGAATTCTGCCGCAGGGTAACTGGCTCCTCAGACATTCAGTATCATTTTTTTAAGCTGCTTGGATGGGGTCACATCCCATCTTCTGCAATTTCACCACAGATAGGAGGTAGAACAGATGAGGCATTGTCTTACCGGCCCCTTCCTACCGTTTGGATGGAAGCCCTCGTATGTGTCTGCACATACAGGTAAGGAAGGCTTGCTAAACACCCTCCAACACTTCCCATCTATCGAAGCCTGCAAATACTTGTGTGCAAGATACCACTGTCTGATCTCATGCTCTGTGTTGCGAACACTGGTCCTCCATGAGAAGTAGCGCTGGACTTAGTCCACTGGGTTCGCAAAACAGACGACTGTTTCTGTAAAACTCAGGATACCTGAGCCCCAGGAGGGCAATACATCCTTCCCACTGTGAAAAGGCAAAAAACCCAACCTCCAAACTAAAGAATGTCTGCAATGAAATTCATTTTCCAAGACCCCTTTTTTGGGTGTGTGTGCGTTTTTTGGTTTGGTTTTTTTTTCCCCCCTGGAAGGACATGGTTTATCTCATGGACTGGTATTCTAGGGGAAAAGCCTTCTGAACTTACAAGAAGGTGTTTTCATGGGTAGCACAACCTGCCTTGAAATATTTGTGTCCACCTATAAATGCATACTGCTTAGAAAAAGCATGGCATGCTCCTTGTATATGGCATCAGATAGGTCTATTTCAAAGAAACCTGTATACATTTTAAAAAAATTAATATAGTATCAGAACAGGTGGCCTTAACAAAAAGTAATTAAAATGAGAGCAGATGGTACTAACAGAGTAAATTAAAAACAGGGATAAAACAATAAAGGCAGATTTCCTTTGGAACAAAATTACCACTTGGGTTCCAATTCCCTGCTAGCAGCTGGCTGCTGACGGGCAGAAACACGGTACCTAACAGCAAGCAGGTGCTTGGGAAGGTGCTGGCCAGATTCGGAGTTGCCTAGCAGGCAGCTCCTACATCTTCTGTTTCCAGACCACTGAATAAAAGCAAAACAAATGGTTACTTCCAAGTGTGACAAATAATCTTTGCTTTTATGAGAAAGAACTCTTTGGACCTTTTCTGGTATGAAATTCCACGTTTCTTTCTTTTCTATTGTCGTATTTTACTGGCACACACTATGACATCAGGGGACCTGGACTCATTTTTATATTAAATTGTTTTGTATTTCTCTTTTTTAATTAAAAAATGTACTGCATGTCACAGCTGGAAACCAGTACATGGTTGATATTTAGAAACCGTGCTGGATTAAACCTCTTTTAACAGAAGTGTTGGGTGTCTTTACTTATTTTAAGACCTGGTTTTACTGCGTTGCCTCTCACCAGCGAGGGGAACAGTGTTGCAAGACACTCCATCAGGAAGGACGCCATGTGCTGGGGGGGTGGCAATAGCACAGAGCCAGCGCTGGAGATCCTCACTCACGCTTACGCATCTTGCAAGGAGAAATTGCATCTTCAGCACGTAAGCATGAAAGAATTTAACCAAGAATTAGTTTTAGCATATTTAGTAGACATCAGAGATACAGTGCTCTTACTTAGCAACTACTAACACTGTAAACAATCCCCTTGGGGTTTACCCTTCATAGACATCTTATAACCTGAAATCTGCTAAGGTTTTCTAGTAATTTTTTCACATTGGAATACTCCTAAAATCAACAGAAGAGGCAAACAAAATTGCTCATTAGTTGCTTCAGGACTACTTTAGCAGGCATGCAATGAATTGCCGTGTCCAAAGAATTTAATTATTAGCATCAAAGTATTTGATGATTTCATTTATTTCTAAGCAGTTTGCTCCCAGGGTCAAGCACTTGTGTAAGACTCCAGCCTTTTATTTAAGAAGACCTGTTCCCATGATTGAAATAAAATATACTTCTGTGATCTTATGAGTATCATTTCAGAAAAAAGAATTAAATTAAAAATAATTAAAGTCAATTCTGATTTGGGGGAGTAGGGTGTGTTGACTCAGTCTTTTCTTCATCTCCTGCCAGCAATACTGCACTAAGCTCAGAGTCTGGTGTAGGGCAGAGGAAAAGTCTGCTCCATTTTCTGGCTTGTTTGTTTGTTTGCTTTGCTTTTCCTCAACTGACAAGATCAAAACAGCGGGAGCACTGGTTTCTCTGCAATTCAGGATTTGTGACACAAGCATAATGTTACACCTGCAGCATGGAGGCCTGCAGGGCCATAATCAAACATCTCTTTTTGATCACAATAAACTCCTGTTCCAAAGAGGAGCCATTACCAAAATCTGCACAGGCAAATATATGCCTTCTTCACAACTAGAGTGCACCTATTCCCATTTTGCATTCCTGTGCTCGTTGAACAGCACGCAGCAGTGGACAAACCTTGGGAGTGATGAGAGTGTCCAATACTAAGTGCGGAACAAATCTGTGCAGAAACAATGCAAGAAATCTTACGATACCAACACTGAACCAAAGCCACTAACAGGAAGGAAAAACAATCAGCTGGCATCACAGCTGAATGACTTCATATAGCTCTCGCACTGTTTGAAGGTCTCTCTCCCTCCTTCTCCTATCAAAAAGCTTTTATAATTCTCTGTGGAAGATTTGTTCAGTCTTGCGTGGTGATTTTGGACAGGTGATGTTAAGGAATTCAAAAGACCTCTCCAAGCAGCCTTTTCAGATTCTCACTGAAATAAGAGGCTCAACTGTCCTTTTAACACTTTGTCCATTATTCCACTTAATTTTGCTTGTCACCTGATACTGTTCAAAGTTCTGCAAGTCTTAAATTTCCAACTGACAAAGTAATTTCCAAGATACTGAGTAAAGAGTGGTGTATCTCAGCTAATGTGGTACTTGAGAAGAATGCTTCTACCAGCCTGGTGTGCTGCAAAGCAGAAGACAATTTAGTGCTCTGCATAGCAAGCGTATGTTTTTCATTCATTATGCTTATGGTAAGCGTTCATTATGTACATTTCTAAGCCTGAATTTTATAGCTTCATCTTCCCCTGCCAGAAGACCAGCAGCCTGCATCACTGAGTGAGCACGTACTTATAACCAAACACCAACACTGCATGTTTCTGACACCTGTACTTCTAAAATGCACAAATAAATGAGAAAACATACATATTGCTACTAGGCTGAGCTAAGCCTCATAGCAGGGAGCTTGTAACCAACCTCGTAAGGGATTAAAAATAATCAAAAGAAGTGGCTTCATTCCAAAGACCAGGATACAAACTGCCACCGAAGATCAAATGCAAGCTACATATCACCTTTTATTTTTACATATGCATGAAGAAGCTCCACCTAACCATCTTTTAATCCTTTTCTGAGCACAGAGAGAGAAAATACATCAAGGAAGCAGAATAAATTCAGATAAGCACTGAGAATGTGAATGTTGTTACAAGGTACTGGAGACACCTTCTTGCACGGAACATTGGTTTAAAAGTCTGGATGGAGACATCATCTCTTGATTTTCCTCTAAGTTAACAGGACTGCATCAAAACACGCTCACTGCGACACAGATTCCTCCTCTGCTGGAAGAATTCAGAGTCCTCTGAATGCTTTGTAAACCTTCTAGGTCAGAAGGTAAAACAATGCTACCCAGAAAATGTAAGTTTATTTCTCTAAAAAAATCTTTTTAAAAATACATTTTTTAATCTATTTCCTTGAAAAAGAAAACAGTGATTCCAATGTTAATTTTGGCCAAGTAATACCTGTGCTTTTATTTTATGTATTTATGATGCTGTCTAACACATTTTGTTAGCGTGATCCATTAAATAAGAAATCAACTATAGCCTTCCCAGGAGAATGAAGGAAGATTCTGTATTTAAAAGTTAGACAGGATAAACTTTTTTTTTTTTTAATTCAACAAATGACAAAGCTTCTCTTGGCCAAGGAACACCACAGATAACAACATCAGCAGCAATGCCGCATTAATTCCAGCACTCTGTTTTCTTAAAGAGCATCAATTTCATTAAGGCCTGATCTAAGCAGGTCCAATGGATGCAACACCACAACAGATTAGAATGTACCACTGCTGACAACCCCACACAGGCAAAATGATCTGGCCCATCTTCTAGCAGAAGTTGTACAAGCACAACTCCTTAGTGAATCCTTCTGTCAAAGCTCGATCGTACCACCACCATTGTCCACCTCCCCGCATGCACGTTATCCCTAGACAGTGTTTTAAGAGTATCATCAATATTCCCAAATCCTTCCACAACACTCATTCAACCATCAGCACGTTTCTTCAGTTCTTACCCTTGTCAACTCGGTGCTTTTACCTTGCACCTAAAGTGCCTGGATACCAGAAATCCCAACTGCATCAAGGTAGGACTTGCAACCTACAGCCCAGGAGGTGGCAGAGCATTACCCACTCACTCTGGCATTTCAGCCCCAGAATTCCTTTTCAGTCCAAAATGTGATGCTGCAAACCACAGGAGAGCATTTTGGTCCATTACAGACGGAGAAGGCTCCGCAAGAGCAACCCCACCACAACCACTTCAGCAATAAAGCAGTTCCACGTGCTTCCTGCTACATAGAACCTCTCATCAGACTGCTTATACACAGGTTTGCATTAACTCCTGCATCTATGAAATTTGTCTTGTCAGAGACATAGTCAAAAAAAACAGGGTCGGCTGCTTTGGTGTTTAACCCCTATGCCATTGCCTTGCATAGGAAGTGCGTTTAGCAACTGTACTAACTGGATTATTAACTAATCAACCACGACACTTGGTATACTGAGTTTATACATTGCCTTTACAGATGAAGACAGTGGTTTAGTACTTTAATATGTCCATTTATTAAACAGAAGTCCTTCACAAATTATTCCATACTATATTGATCAAGATAAGT